CAATGAGCTGGATTGGCACAGTGGCAGCAGCAATGGGCTCAAACGTAGCAACAATTGTCAGGTTGTTGCAAGAAGGGGCAATATTTCATTCTGTTGTGTATAGGGTCATTATGAGTTGGTTCTAACTCGATGGCACCTAACAACAACAATAGCAAAACTAATATTAAAAAATTAGAAAGCAAATTCATATGCTTCAGGAGGAGGAGAAAGAGATCAATTATAAATCAGAGATTTTGGAGTCAAGAAAATAACTGCTTTAGATTACAGAAAAGGTAACTAATGAAAGTTATGATGATAGATAGACTGTCAGTTATATGTGAATAATTGATTATCAGAATTAGAAGTGCCTTGATTTTAATTAACAGGTCATCTTCTATTCCCTTTTTATTCTCTGACTCTAGCAAAGTTTCATTTATATTCTAGGAACTTAATGGATTACTTTTTAAAGAAAAGTAAAATAAAAACTTTGGTTTTGGCGGGACCATTAAAGTAACTCCCAAGAGTTGTTTCTTTTCCTTTATCATATTACTTTGGACAGTGTCAAATTTTAGCTAATTTTTCCTCTAAAAATAAGGAAGCAGAATATTGACCCTACAACTGAACACTGAAATGACAATTTTGGAGAAGACTTTTTGTTTGAACTATTTTGTCTTCTTTTTTAGATTCATTTAGACTATGAAGGCACATCATTTTCTGAGTGGAGTGTTCCAGAATCTTGTTCTGTAAAAGATAAAAGGTAAGATATTTGCTATGGATGGCAATGCATGTGTGTATTGACATGTAAAAAGACATTTATATAGTGTGTAAATTTAAGGCTTTGATTTAATGTAAAAGTCTTTCTATTCAATAGGTATGAAAAGACAAAATTACTTTGAAAATAGAAATTAAATATCTCTATATTTTAAATGAACTTTTTTTTTTTTACTAGCATACAATTGACATTTTCAAACTTAAAAAATAGTTGTTAGTTTCCATCAAGTTAATTCCAGTTTGAGGTTCAATAGAAGGAAATGTTGCCCTGCCCTATACCTCTCCATGACTGCTGGCATGCTTAAATTCATTATTGTGGCCATTGTGTCAAGCCATCTCATTGAGAGTTGCCACTTTTTAAAATTATTATTATTAATCTCCTATGCATCTATAGTTATTTCTCTTTTCCTGTTCTTTTTAAACACCAGATCACCCCAGACAGAATTGCGTTGTCCTTCTCCAGGTTTTCATCATATAAAGCCACTAGTTACTGGCCCAGTAAGTTGATTTTAATGATAACCTATTACATTTTTTAAATAGTTACCTGCTTTAATTTTTTCTTTTTCTTTATTGTGAATTAAGTAAAGGTTTACAGACAAGATCATCATTTTTACATTCAATAAATCATATACTTTGCTTCATCTCAATGATTGCAATCTCCTCCATGCAACAACAGTTGTCTTGCTTCATCCTCATGGGTTCCCATGCACCAATATCCTCCTTCAAACTCTTATATATTTGTGGGGTCTATAAATATATATCCTACTCTTCATCCCATGCCCATTCAACCTGTGTCTCAGTCCATGTATCTACATAGAACTCTGTTGTTCCAAGGTTGTGTATATATATATCACTATTTGCCTCTATCCCCTTTAGCCATTACATACCTCCTAGTGTTTTCAACTATCTTCATCATTTTTCTGTCAACCTCTCTAATCTTGTATATTGGCCTTCCCATCACCCCAGTTAATATGTGTCTACCCTCTAGCCGATGAACTACTCTCCCTTCCCTCCCACCCTTGGTAACCATCAAAGAATGCTTGTTTTACTATGAAAACCTTTTCTTGAGTTTTTACAATAGTGGTCTCATACAATATTTGCCCTTTTGTGATTAGCTTATTTCACTCAGCATAATGTCTTCCAGGTTCATCCAGTGGTCCTGGAAGACATGAAGTGTTTCACAGAGTCGTTATTCTTTAAGGTTGCATAATTTTCAAAGATTGCTTCTACACACTTCCATTGATGGGCACTTCGTCTGTCTCCACCTTTTTGCTATTGTGAATAGTGCTGTGCATATATCTACTCATATTCTAGCTCTTATTTCTTGCAGATATATACCATGTACAGGGATTGTTGTGTCATACAATATTTCTATTTCCAACTTTCTGTGAAAGTGACACACTGATTTTCACAGTAGTTGAACCATTTTACAGTTCCACCAGCAATATTGGAGGGTTCCAGTGTCTCCATACTTTTGCCAGTATTTGTTGTTTTCTATAGTTTTGAACTTTGATACTAATTCTGGTGTGAAAT